AAATGAGTGTTTTGTAATCCTTATTCCCCTATTGGTGCTTAAGGGGGATTATTTGGTCAAGTATTTTTCCAGCTACAGAAACTGGGCTGAGGGGTTTAGCATTCCCTGGGTTGTCCTAGACTGCCTTTTTAAAGACAGCGACGATGCTTATCCTGCATCTGTCTTTCACAAGGGTAGTGGTTCAATAATTACTGACACTGCTTGAAGGTGAATTCCATCAGACCTTAATGATTTGAACACTTTTGAGGTATCTAAATAGTCTTTAGGTTGTTTTTGTCTTGTTCTCACCCATATTCCTAGCAGTTCATGTTACTGATGTTAAGTATTTTGTTGCAATTAAGCCTTTTTGTGACCACTGAGACAAAAATGACGCAACTTTTCTGACTTCCCTGAATGAGCTTTTGTTTGCTCGTTTTTCTAGTTCAAATAAGACTTTCATTTTCCTTTATTTTTCTCCAATGTTGACAGAATTTCTAACACCTTTTCTCTTTGCTTTTGTGTTGGCTGCTAGAAGTAATTCATTTTTTTCCCCTTAGCTTTTCAGCTTCTACTGCTCCATGCTTGATCTGTTTATTTACAGTTATCTTCAGAAATGCCACCTTATTTTCATTTGTGGTCCAGTTCCTTCCTGACTTCCAGCCCAGCCACAGAAATCACTTTCTAGCAAGCCTTGTTCAGAATTCATTTGTGTCTGAGCTGCCTGTAAGATTTATTCTTCTGAACTCATTCTCACTGTTTGCCACGAGTTACCATTTATTACTAGTCATTTGAATCCCTTCACCCTTTCTGTCTGGGGATATCTTCTGGTTGCTAATGACCTAGCCATCTCTGCAGTGTATTTGATAAGTAGTATGCTAATCCCACTGACTGATATGTTTTTTTATGTACTGGCAGTAAGTAAATCACTTAGCAGGTATTGAAATACAGGGCTGTGTACATAAACATAGCTGCTGAATGCTGAAAATATTAAGGCATCACCTTAACATGTGCCAACGTAAGGGAATGTGGAGAGCAATTCTGCACCCTCTGGGCATTCTGCAACATCCTAAGTTCTCATCCAAGTGTTGCCCTGGTCCTGTTAGCAATAACTGAAGCCAAACTAAGAATCTGTGATGTGAGCAAAGGCCTCTTCCACAGAATTCCAGCTGCAGACCTGGTGCCCACGGTGCCTGAGCACCGGCAGCGACTCAGTAGTGGAGCTAGTGCTGAGTTTGTAGTCTCTTGTACCAACTGCACATTCTGGGCACGGTCTTTACTTTTGCTAAGAAGAGAAGTGAGAAATATTTGGTAACCTTCTTTGTATATTTGCCTTTTAAAGAAGCTGAATAAACRGGGAAAACAACCTGCCCTGAGAACCCTGCAGAGCCCCAGCCCCCAAGGGTGGTTACTGGGAAGGTTGTGGATTTTGCTCCCTTATTGTGCCTGGCACTGGCCGGATTACTGGTAAAGAGCTTCTCTACCTCCCGTGGGGAAGGGCAGGGGAGGAGGGACAACAGGGGGACTGCAGGGAGCTGCGTCCTCTGTGTAGCTGCACTGGGAATCCCAGGGCTCCCAGTGCGGAGGAGACGAGACCCTTTGGATGTAGGGTGAGGACACAGCGGTTGCTCAGATGCCAGCCGAGCCCTCCGGATGAAGCCATGCTCTGGGAAAAGGCAAGGTCGCGCTGGGAGCTTGGTGTGGGAGTGTTCTGGGTCACTGCACTCACAGGAAAGAAATGATTTGACTGGGTGCAGGCATCTGTGCCACCCTGGCGTGTGAGGGCGCGGCGTGGTGAGCRTTTCCATGCTGGCAGCTCGGGCTGGCAGCGTGGCTTTGCAGTGCAGGGAGGTTCTGGCAGTCTCTGCAGAATAAACCCWGCAGCGCCGCGCAGGGTGGGAGGTGCGCGCCTTGCTCCGAAATCCGCACGCGTCAGAGGTGTCTGAGACCCAGGGTTTTTATTCAGCTCACATCTGTTCAGCGCTCAGCTCTGTGCAGGGCTGGGGCACGTAGGATAGCTGGGGACAYGCCAGGCAAACAGCAGGGCCCTGCCACAAAGTACTGGCAGCCCCAACCGCGAGTGCTTCAGACCGCACTGCCTCGCTCTTCTTGAACTCTGCAGTCGCCTTTCATGGTAGCACCTCCCTCCCCCTTCTGCCCTGGCACGGCAAYGTGCTCAATTAGGGTTAACTCAAACTGAATCAAAACTTCATGCCTGAGGTTGGAAATCTTCCCAGTCAACTCACCACGGCCACATAGCATGGTGGGAGACAAGGCGAGAGGGGAGATGAACGCTTTTCAGAGAAATGAATCCAAGGAAACTTTGTTCACTTTTATTTCTGCAGGAGATGATCCCCCCAAAGGAGATTTCCCTGTTCAGAAAAAATCCCCGGTGAGTGTTACAGCTGGTTTCCTTTGCTTTGCTTTCTGCTCAGCTTGCTCTAAACATTGCAAGATCTCCCTGCTCCCTTCCTCTGCTGTGCTCTGGCTAGAGACAGACAAGCACCCTTTCTTGCGGAGGGGTGGAATAAGCATTAACAACTCAAGGCAAAAATCCCTCCATTAACCTGATTAAGTTAAGAAAGGGCAGCTTAAAGGGGAAAAAATGATCTGAGTCTTGGGGGGAAAAAAGCCTTTTGATTGCTGCCTTTTCCCTGAGCACCCCTTTCCCTGTGGGACAGCTTCTCTGAAGCAAAGGGGGATGTTGTATATGGGAGGGAGGGAGTTGGCCTGTCTGCTTAGTTTGATCAGACCCACCAGGGAAGGGTCTCCAGATACTGCCAAGAAGAAGGGACAGGAATTGAGTAGGAGCCACTGACGTGCGTGTGTACCAGAGCCCTCCCGTAGTGCCAGAGCCTCAGGTTTAAATATTTGGCTGGGATTTAAAGCCAGATTGAAAGCCAGATTCATCTGAATGTTTCTTGTCTTGTGGCTTTGATGCTTATGTGGAATTTTTCAGGCTAGTTTTGTTGAGTGTTTGACCCCTAAAATCTGTGCAGTGTTTCAATGCTGGGGAGAAAAGGGCCTGTTCTGTATGTGCTCTGCCTTGCAGGACAACACTGTGATACTTGCTCGATCTGCCTTCAGTCGGTTATGGCATTAGCAAGTCCAATATTTAGTTCGCAGTTTTAAGTGCTGTGCAGACATTAACTCTAAGGTACCCGGAGCTCCCATGAAGTGCATGAATTTAGTCCTGTCCCGCAGCTAGCCAACAAGGAGAGGTGAAAGCAAACATCTGCAGCTGGCACTTTGAATGACCTTTCTTTTTTCCAAAGACACAGACTGTCAACTTCCACAGTATCTTTGAGCTGCACAGTCCCGCAGATCCCGGGCTCTCAGTGGTAGCTAAGCCCAGCAGAGTTACCTGTGTGCTCGCGYATCCAGGCTCAGCCTTGTTGCTTTTGCGGGGCGCTCTGCTGAGCAAGGTCCTCCTCTGTGAAAGCGAGCGGACTGCACCTGGCTGGCCTCATGGATGAAAGCTGCCCGCTTTTGGATGCCCAGGCAGGCCACAGGCAGGTCAGTGATACCCCCAAGAGAATACCTGAGGGTTTCTGCGTGTGCTGGTGCCCAATGGAAGAATTCCTGCTGTAAATCCCTTGCTCTGCTCCACAGAGGAGTAGAGGCTCCAGTGGCTCAAGGTGCTGACTCTCACATGTGAGCAAGGTTACTGGGAAGAGCTGCTGCCTCCAGCTTTCCTTCCCTAGCCTGTTCCTGCTCCTCCGCCGAGGGTGTCCATCCCAAAGAAGGGATGGCTGGAATGGGCCACCATGAAGGTTTCTGTCACTGCAGGTCACAGCCTGACATGGGACACCCTGCATTGTTGCAGCTGAATCCACTGGGGCTTGTCTGTCAGAGTGCACAGACCCCTGGCCCTGTGGGACTGAACACTTGCACTCTGCATCTCAGCCAAATGTTATTAAATATTAAATATAAATTAAGTATCACTTATCATATTAAGTATAATAGCAAGGTCTGTGAAAGCGAGGAATAAAAATATAGCTATCGCGTAGCCTTTTACTTCCTTGCTCAAAAATGTGGAATACCCAAATACCCACAGGAAACATAATACATCTCTTACAGCTTTTTATCCTCAATTACCAAGAACTTGTTGGAGAAGACGATTCTGTGTGTGTGTCTGTGCACTTACAGCTTGTATATGCCACTGTTCTGAGGCTGGTCTAAAAGCAGGAAGCCCTAGTGCAGCTTCCAAGGAAGCCCACTCTGTGCTATAAGCCGTAGGGCATAATGGTTTCAGAGTAAATAATAAAATGGATAATTACATATTTACCCAAGCAAAGCAAGAACATCAAGGGTTGCTTAACAAAAGGGCATCTTATGCATAGTGAAAGAAACATTAGAAAAAGAACACAAATATTTGTCTTTAGAAATGTTGGGTTAAGTTGTGGAAGGGTCTTTTGGGCTTTTGCTTTGTTTTTTATGTGTACAGTCAGTCTCTTCTCTTTCATGGTTCTTGTGTATTCTTGGGCAAGACAGCATCATTGAGTAAAATCTGGTAACCTTGAGGCCATTCCTTGGGAGATCCAGATAAGTTCAGATCTCTTGGTGGTGGAATAAACCTGAATAAACACATCTATTTTGGTATCTGCATTTGCATTTGGGACTCTGGGAAGAAATACAAGAATTAATTATTTCTGTCACCAGGAGCAGAAATGCATGTGAAGAGTTCATCTTAGTTCACTAGCCTATACTATGGTCACTGAAAAATTAAAACTATAAATGCAGCTGTTCATATCACACCCCCTATCCAGTCTCTCTTTCCATTTAGGAGAGCCTGAATGGTGCTGTGAAAACCAGTTTTCCATGTTGGGAGGAAGTGAAGCTCAGAGTGTAGGGACTGAGGCGCRCTCAAGGACATGCCAACACTCATATATGTTTAAATGCCTTCTTTGACTTAGAGGCTGCAGATCTTTTTACCCAGATTTAAGTAGGGTAAATTCATTCATACAGTGGCCAGGCACAAGGAGGTTTGATGAGCCCCATCCCTGTTTTGTTTTGCTTTTGAAGAAGTGGAATTATCCAAAGCCGTGACAATATTCTCTCCCCTAAGAAGAGGGACATACCTGGGAATGGGGTGAAGCACATCCAGGGCTGATGCTCTGCCTCAGGGAGCTGTGATGTGTTTTGGTGCAATGGAGTTGCAGAGATTGAGGGCAGTTGTCCTAGGGGAAAAAGCAGATTCAGGTGCAGCAGGGAGCAGTACCCTTGGACTCTATGACCTGCTGAGGTGAGGTCTTGTGCTACAAGAAGCAGCAGTTTCAAGGCAGCAGGCAAAGCTTTTAAGTGCACAATGCAGAAGAAAGGCATCTGAAGGCATTTTTGCATCTCAGTGGGTTTTCACATTGTGACAGAGAGGCTGCAATGCCMAAAAAAAAACAGACGGAGACGTAGTTAGGCAGCTGTGGGCTGCTGGGTTTTGGCCTGGGCTTGTTTCTGCTGCTGGGGCACTGGAGAATATGTTGCTGGGGCGAAGGCCATCATAAAACGGATATATTCTGGTTTGTCTCCCACAGAAACTCTGTGGCTCCAACTACCCCCTGAGCATCGCTTTCATTGTGGTGAACGAGTTCTGCGAGCGCTTCTCCTACTATGGCATGAGAGGTACGTGCCCCGTGCCCGGGAAGCCCCTTCCACCCCTGGGTTTCTGTGCACACTGGTCTGGTGTCCCAGGCTTGTGCTGTGCGAGTTCACTGTTCTTCAGTGAAAGGCCTTTGTTAAATTGGTATTTTTGGGATGCAGGCATGAACAATGTGCCCTAAAATTGAGACTAGCTCTGCTTTGGCCAGAAATTTGAGTTAGACACTTTTTTTTTAATGATTTTGTGTCTTGAATCTGATTTTCCTGTGTCTGATGTCTTTCATAGCTGCATGAAATCAGTGCATCTGAGAACTGAATCATACAGGCCTGTAACTTGCAAGTAGGAAATATACATAAGCAAAGATACACGTTAGGGAAAGATAAGCTAGAAAATATCTTTTTCAGCTATCTATAAGCGTGTATGAGCAAAGAAAGGCTAATGTCATATATTTCACAGAATGGTTGAAGTTGGAAGGGATCTCTAGAGATATCTAGTCCAACCCCCCTGCTCCAGCAGAGAGACTCAGAGCACAGRGTGGCATCCAGGTGGGTTCTGAAGACCTCCAGAGAAGGAGACTCCACAACTCCCTGGGCAGCCTGTTCCAGGGCACTGTCACCCTCCCAGTGAAGAAGTTCTTCCTCATACGGAGATGGAACTTCCTGTGCTTCAACTTGTACCCATTACCTCTTGTCTTATTTGAACTTTTTCTGTGTCAGGGGATACCAGCATCAGGTTTGAAAGCACAAATCTTTGCACAACAGTGCCTGTAGCTGCTAGACAAGTCAGGGTGTTTTTCCTGGCCACTGTGGTATAGTTTTCTGCTTGCGTGAGGAGGTGTATGTTAATTATCTGATGTGCTTTGTGTTCTTTTAGCTGTCCTGACACTGTATTTTGTCAGCTTCTTCCACTGGGACGAGAATCTCTCCACCTCTGTGTACCATGCCTTTTCTGCTCTCTGTTATTTCACACCTGTCATTGGAGCCATCATGGCAGACTCGTGGATGGGGAAATACAAGTAAGTAAGGACAACTCTACACCGTGCAGTCCGTGCGAGGCCAGWGCTAAGCAGGCTCCTTGCTCTAAAGGTGGCTCCTTTAGCTCAGGGTCTAGCAAGGACACACCCACTAAAGTCAGCTGCTCTCTGTTTAATGAACAACTGTTTTGTTTGCTTATGTWATTCTGAGCTCCTCTTTCATCCAGGAATTGATATGGGACAAAATAATGTGTATAAATTGTCACGAGTACACCTTTTATCTACCCTTCTTATACACCTGTAAGATGTGGTGTAGGGCCGTTGCAGCAGAAATCAGATATAAGCAGTCAAAACCCTTAGCTTGCCAAGATCTGCTGCTTAGATACATTCGAAGAAGTTGAGGAAAAGTGTAATCTTCTGGATCTAGCAGTTTCAGGTGAGGATGGCACAAACCCCACTYGGGTTTTCCCTGCACAGGGTGTGTGAGAGCACATTTGTTTTTAACCCCAAGGAAAGTTAGCCRGGTTAACTCAAATCATCTCCCTCARTGCATAACCAGGTAGATTCTTCCTGATTGTATCTGTGGTTTCTCCCTTACCCTGGTAAATTGTGAGTTCATTGTCTGCKATGAGGAATGATGATGAGCGCCTGGATAGAGGACTGCTCTTGGCCCTGTCTATTCACTGCCTGCGGAGTCTTGCTATCCGAGTGATGAAGTGCAGCTGGACCTGTCTCCCTAGGAATAAGCACATCTGGCAATGTGACTCTCCACATGAAAAACCAATCTGGAAAACCTCTCTCCCACAGGAAGTTCCAAGGGTTTTCTTTGTTCTTTTTCCCTTGTGCTTCACGCTCAATTTCAGTCATTGTCTTGTCCTTGTAAATGAAAAGTTACATTTTTTTAAACAATTATTCAAGGTCCCATAGCTATGTTTATTGTGATTTGAGGATGTTTGATCTTGCAGCGTGGTGATGCGAGATGGTAAATTTGTATGCTAACTTCTATACATTATGCATCAAAAAATTTCCTTAGAAGTTGTCCCTTCAGCTTAGTGGGTGGCAGCTTTTGCAGGAGTAACTGGGACTTGCTAATATTAAGGACAGGATAACAGATTAGCAGGGTTTTTAGGAGTGTTCCCCTGTGACTCTTATTTAGCTGTTCCAGCCAGGATTTGGATGCATTTGGGGCTGCTTTTGTATTTAATAGCTCATAGGGCTCATTTTAGAGCACCCAGTGCCTCCATCCTAAGAAGTCCTTCTGTTTCCTTTGTGTGTCTGTGCTGCTCATAAATACATAGCTACGTGATAATCCTCAAGATAAGGAATGGACTACATTCAATAGCTTCTTTTCTCCTCCCCCGAGATGAGGGGGCAGATAGAGGAGCTCAATAATAATTCATGGATCTGAAATGGTCTCATGATACCCATCATAGGGTAACCACACTCCTAATCTGGATGTGTTGGTCAGGTGGATTGAACGTGGGTCTCAGTCCTTATGGATACTTTCCAAACTAAGGCTTTATTTAGGCACATGGTAGAAAATGCCAGTTATTAGTAATCTGAAAATGAAGTTGAATGTGAAGAGAACTCTTCTACTCGCAGCCTTCCATGCATGAAGGGCTGGATAATTGTTAGTTTGTTCTGTACAGCAGCCTCAATGAAGAAAGCAGGGGCTATCCCTCCTTCTTCTTAATCTGAATTTATTTGCCTATCTCTTTCTTCCAGTGCATTCAGTGTTGACACAAAAGGATTATAGCTGCATGCAGTATCAGGCATATGGACGAAGTAGGTCCTTGTGGACCTACAGACCTGCTGTATCAGGAACCACAGGCACACTCTGTTTTCAGATCCTACATCAGCCAGCACCTCAGTCACTGCTGTTTGCTCTTCTCACAGGACGATCATCTACCTCTCCATTGTGTATGTGGTTGGCCACCTGATAAAGTCAGTCGGCGCAATTCCATCCCTAGGGAACCAGATGGTTCATGTGTAAGTAGCTATTGAATCCACAGTGCAGTTGTGATGGTTGTTGGCTTACCTTGTGCAGCCAGTTGCTTCACCACTATTGGGGGAGCAGTTTGGGGGCTGTGCAAAGATTGCTTTTATCAGGGAAAGGCTGGGGATGTCTGGTTAAGAGTGGAAGGGGGAAGTTGGAAGCTGGAGTATGAATGCAGCAGGAGTTGGAAACCACCACAAAGGCTTTGAACCCTGTGAGAAAGGGACATGTGATTGCCCCTCTCTGTTGTATCATGTCTTTGAAGTTTGGTCTTTCTCATCCAGTTGGCTGTACCAGGTTCCTTCATCCTGCTCTCCTCTCAACATCCACCCTTGTTTCCTCCCTGGCAGTGCTACTCACCTCAGCACCTCTGTGCATGGGAGGACAAAAAAAGCTTGTAGAAGATGTAACATGATTCTTAACAGAAGAATGATTCATCTTAGCCACTACCCTTCTTCTAGATTCATGATAGCGTTGTCAGGATTAGTTCCCCAGCTGGCATCTCTGAAACCAACAAATYGTTCTGGCCTAGGTGGCCACAGTTCTGAAAATGTGAAACAGGCAGGAGCACATCTCATTTACAGATCAGCTTCCTGATGTCCCAGACTTGGCCAGTCTGGCATGACACTCCTGTTCCCTACAGAAATTATTTTTTAGGGCCAGCAATGTGGTTTTGAGGAGCTCTGGGAGGTTTAAAGCCCCCTAAAATTAATTTAATCCAACCCGGTCTTACCTAGCCTGGAAATCCTATAGATTTTTTTTTTTTCCCCCCCCCTTTCTTTCTCTTTGTCCCCCATTTTGATCTCTGCAGTTTCTTGTTTTCTTATGAGCCAAAAATACAAAAATAATCCTGGATATGTTAGATCTGTTTTGCCTGATAGGACCTCAAAGCAGCAAAAAGCTGAGAAAAAACTGTTTTGTTAATTGACTGGTATCAAATTGTTTTTCACGCTTAGCTTAGCCGTCATCATTGCCCAGTTCTGATACTGGAGAAATCATGGCTGAGTGACACGAAAAATGCTCTCCTAAGTGCTGTAAAGGTTCTGCAATGGTGATATTTTTGTTCTTGCATGAAGGATCCTGTCTATGACTGGTCTGTTTTTGATCGCCCTTGGAACAGGAGGTATCAAGCCCTGTGTCTCTGCATTTGGTGGGGACCAGTTTGAAGAGGAACATGTAAGATTTCTTTTCTTTCCTAAAATCTGAAGTGTTCAGTTATTTGTCCAGTTATATTATGAGGACATTTGTGATCAAATATTGTAATAGAATAAAGGCAGTTTGCTAGGGGAAAAAAAAAAAAAAGCATACATAGAGTGCTTCATAGGATGGTTTTCGTGAGACTTAACTGAATTGAGATGGCTCAGGAAAGGGAAATGACAAGACAGATGACATTAGGGTAAATAGATCATAATGTTATTAAATAATCTGAATGCTAATTGGACATTGGAGTATTTGGAAAATTCTGTACAACATAAAACATGGAAATGTGGAAAGGTAGTTACTTCTGAGCCAGTTTAATACAGGTGATAATGCACTGCAATGCAATATAGTGAATGGAAGATGAAATTTTATTGTCATTCCCTGTGCTTTCTTGGAAAGTTTCCCTCAAAACAGTGAGTAGTAATAATCTGYATCTTAAATATGTTGTTTTCACAGAATAGGTGGTTTTGAAGAATTGCGATTTGTACTTGGATTTTTTTTTTTAAGTTCAGCTCTTTTGTAGTGCATCCACTGAATTGTAGTCCAGATGCTTCAYGTCCTCATTCTCCATTATAAACACTCGGCCCCCATCTGACTTCCATGCCCTGTAAGATGCCAAGCTTGGAACTGCCCTTGTGCAACACAGGGWTGAGGTGGTGCTTGAGGGAGCGAAGAGGGCCAGGCAGTACTACCGCAGCTTGAACAAGGAAACCTTTTAAAATTGACTTGAAATCAGATGGCTTGATTTACAATGCTCCAATGCATAAATAAAAATTCCACTTTTCTCAATGAGTAATATTCAAATCAACTTCTGTGCATGACATAGATCTTCAAATATGTAAGAGGCCACTACAAGGAAGGAAGGCAATAATTGTTCCAGTCTGGGGTGAGTGGGTTTAAATTCAAGAAGAATGATTTAGGATAAACAGTGGGCTTTCCAACAGTCTCAAACAGTGGAGGCATTGAAGGACTAACGGTCCAGCAGGGTTGTTTGTATCTTGGATGATGGATGGCCTCTGGGAATAGGARCCAGGTGTTGTCTTTCGCAATGCCCCAGTCAGCGTTTAAAAAGTGAATAAAATAGACTAGAATGCTTGTTTTAAATTTGGAAATGTGAGTTTTCTGCACCTCAACTCTGTGATACTGAAGCCATGCAGCTGGTAACTGAGGTATCCTGAGCAGAAACCAAGCAGGGATGTCTGACAGCCGCTTGCTCGGAGCAGCCCCTTGCACAGGAGTGTCCAGCCCGTGCAGCATTGGAGGCTGCTGCAGCAGCAGGAGCAGCTGGTGGGCACCAGCCTGCACAACCCTGAGCGAGAGCAGCCTGCGGTGCAACGCTGCTCAGCGCTCCGGGACGAGCCCTGTGCCTGGAAGCACCAATAGCTCTCCCCAAAGGGTGCCACAGGTGTTACAGCAGCCTTTCCAGAGGTACTGCTTCTGTGAATATTAATGATTAACAATGTTTATCCAACATCTTTCAATTACCAGCTAATTACAATATGATAATATGTACCACTTATCTTCTGAGTGTTTTGTAGACTTCAGCTAATGAATCTCAGCACCCCAGTCAGGCACATAAGTGTTGTTATCCCAGGCTTACCACTAAGGCTGAATTACCTGCAGTTCTGTAGCCATTCTCCTGTATTCAAGCTGTACCTCTCCAACAAACTTACCAAATGCTAAGGCTCAAATATTTACCCGTGTGTTGCCTTGATGAGAAACTAATTTAGAAAAAGAAAATTGCTAAAAGACTTCTGAGGAAGATGGTGTTCTACTCCATTTAATTTTTATAGAGTTGAAAACTTTTATTTTACCATTTGGAAATGACTGTATCTTTTAAGAAGACAATACTATGTGCTAGGAAACTTAAGTCTTCAAAATAGTAATGAGAAGTTTTGATTTTTTAAGGAATGAAATGTTAGGGGCCAACCAAAATATTTCTTCCTTTCAGAGTTATTTGAGGGGGAGTTGTTAGGGTTTTTCATATCTTGTCCTCCCTGGAGAGGAAGAAGTTACTGTAATTCCCAATAAAAGGAAGAATTTAGTTCTTCCTGAGTTTTCAGCATGCTAATAAACTTCATCTAAGTCACTCAGTGCACAAGCTCACTTCTACTACCTGGAAATGAGAGTTGTGGTAGTTCTGAACAAATATCTACATATAAATATATAATAAAACTTTAATATTTATAGAACTTCAATATATAAATACAAAAATTTACTTTGCTTATTACAATTTATATAAATATAATGTGTATATRTATACATACCTTTATAAAGAAAATAGACTGGTTCTGCATATTCCCACATAGAGACAAATTTAGATTTTGAGGTAAACRCACACCACAGTGTGGTTTTCTTTAAAATGCTTTATGAATGTAATATCCTTGGAGCTGCTGCGTTGAGAACAGCACTACTGCAAAGAGTGATGGAGACCACTGGTTCAGCAGGAGGTCAGATAGGGAAAATGGATTTATCTGCAGGAGATTTCTAAGCATCTTTGTCTACAGATTAGTAGTTCAGGCTGAAAGTGCCTGAATAGAGTAATATTTGCAATATGTTATAGAAATTCACAGGCTGCTGTGCATATTAATTAAGGACCAAAGCTGCTTTCAAACAATGTGATATGGTTTTTAAGGTACTAAATAGTGCTTTTTCTTTGTTTCTTTATTTYCCTGTTGCCATGGAGATCAGGATTATCCTGTATGGTACCTTTTCTCAAATTAGCTAATCCAAATCATGTTATTAATGTATGCCTGCTCTAAAGATTAAGAAAGCAATGAGGGAATTCTTTTTTTTTTTTTTTTCCTTCAATCAGTGGAACTTGCAAGCTGATGAGTTGTTATTTTCATACTCAGCTCTGCTTCTCTGCCCATTTTTTCCCATAACTGAAATCTGTAAATATGTGAAATAAGTTGCCCCAAATTCTTTATGCCCCACTATCCTCTTTTTTTTTTTTTTTTTTAATCAACCTGTTGCTTTTGGTAACTGTTGCTTGATAAGTGTTTGGTAACTGTTGTTGATTTTATCATGCCAAGAGCTGTGTTCTTGAATCCTGTTCAGCTTATGGAAATTCTAAATTGTTCAGATGGAAAGGGCAATGAGAATGTGGCTAGAAGAGAGCAGGATTGCAACCACCTCTAGCAAGTCATGGCAGTGCTGCACTGGGATTGAGGGGGCTTGCTGAGGCATTTCTTTATTATGTTGGTCATAGTAGAATGAAGTAGTAGTTGGTCATAGTAGAATGAAGTATACTTCTATTAGCCCAGTATAGCAATGGAAAATTCCAGGTAAGCAAAAAGATCAGTAAGGTCAGAAAAGGAGTTTTGAAGAATGAAGACACGGTGCTGTTTGCTATTAACTATGAGAAAAGCCACCAGGTTAATTTATAAAATAAAAGCTTACTAGTCCTTTAATCCAGGATAAATCATTTATAAGTAATATATGGATAACTTTGTCTTGAAGGCTTGAAACTTTTGTGAGGGCCAAGAGCCCGAGTTGACAGCTCGTCATTGCCCTCGCCCAGCGCGGGGACTGTCGGCCTTCCCTGGCGGTGGCAGCGATGCTGATGGGAGCTCTCGGACATCTCATCCTCCCTGTCCCTGGACCCACGTCACAAGGGACATAAGAAAAGCCCTTCCAGGGAGCTCCTGCTCGCCTCGCTTCCCTGCTCTGCTCTGCTGGGATAAGAGGCTTCTTGCCATAGCAAGTAGCAGTGCATGTGTGTGTCCCAAAGAAGTCCCCCAAGCAAGGAGAGCTGGCTGCCCGTAGAGCACCCTCACACTTTGCTTCTGCTGAGAGGACCAGACTTAGCATAGAAGTCCTTGATTCTTTCCAAATTATGAATTATGCAGCAGGAAAGCAGTTCAGCAGGGATCCTTTGTCTTTTTCAGTTGTAATTTGTTACAGCATTGGTTGAATTCTCAGCTCTTGAGAAACAGTTAGTCCCTCCATCATGCCCTTGATTGCCCTGATAGAATTAATTTACCCTATTAATTTGAGATTGGTTGGTCTCATCTTGGTGATCTCTCACCTGACAAATCTTTCTCATGTTTACTGTCCTCTCTCATCTGTGCCATCAGCACCAGCTTCTCACAGTGCAGGTTTTTTTTCTATTTCTACACTGGAGAAGGCGAAAAAGGAGCTTAGACATGGAAACAAACGATGGGCTTGTCAAGCTGTGCCAAATCGGATTGAATTAGGTGACAGAGGATCTGAATCATGCTACTTGTTCTGAATAAGTAAATGCTTTTCCCCCTCCCGATTCCACAGCACTCTCGAAGCAGTGGTTTTTCCTCCGAAATGCCAGAAAGCCCCGAAGCGCTTCACGAGTAACGTGAGCTGATTTGTGTGAGCACTTACCATCACCTGGGCGCAAGCTTGTTTGCTTAACATTTTATGCACTGCGTGTCAATATTTACCCAGCCTTCCTAACAAGAGAATTGATAGTATTCAATTTGCAAGCCCAACGCTGCGCGTTAGCCGTGACATTGATATTGTCTTCTCTTGTTTTAGACGTCGGAGAGAAGCAAGTTTTTTTCCGTCTTCTATTTATCCATTAATGCTGGAAGTCTGATCTCCACATTTGTTACTCCTGTATTGAGAGGTCAGTGCTGATTTAGAATAAGCTCTTAATTTAGCTGCCCTCTGACTACTCTGCTGTGCATATTTAGGCTCTTATGACAACTGAATGACAGAAATTACATTATTTCTGGAGCGGCCMGTGTATTGCATTTACGCCTTGTTGATCCTGTGTAGCAGCGTCACACATTCATGGGTACCAGCATATGAGTTGCACAAACCACGTTCCCAGCTGTATTTCAAAGCTCATTTGAACAATAGAATTAAAATATGGGAAGTGAAGAGTCCTGTGTGGTCTAATGCTCCTCCTGGCCAGCACGAAGTTGCTCCTTGCTCTTGCCTGCAGGTAACCTCTGGGTAGGCGCCGATCCCTGCTCTTCTGGGCAGGCGTTGAGGCTGAACCACTTAGCAGGGCTCATTTCGGAGTCCTACCTTTTCTCAGATGCCACTGACTGCCAGAGGACTCTATTTTGCACCCAGGTTTGTCTGCTTGGCTCCAGTTGCAAGACCACAGCCCTGAGGAGCGAGCCCGGGAGACAAAAGCCTAGGTCTGTGCCCCACTTATGGCCTGCTTTGCATTCCGACCACTTGCATGGGCCCTTTTGGTCCCTAGCTTTGCTGCAATCACTTCCTTGTACCGCAGCACCACCAGCCAAGCAGATTGGCACACTTTAAATAGAGACCCGTGGGCAGGAGGAGGCCAGCAGCCCATTGGCAAAGGGGACGGGGACAACGTAGCCTTCATGCTCAGTAACATTTTTTTTTCATCCTGTCTGAAGGCCCCTAGCAAGTTTGCTCTGTTCAGCATGGCTGTTTTAACAGGCTGTTCATTTCACAAGGCAGTGGGCAATTATACTTCTCTTGCAATTATGCCAAAGCACCCAGGCAAAGACAAACTCTCTCTCTCGTGCTCCTTCTTTTACCAGCGTCCTCATGTCCATATTCTGCTGAGAAGGGGCTGTTGCTAAATGTAATTAGTGGGCGGGTGAAAATCTGATCCTATTTGGACATCAAAGTCCRTGCCAATACAGTGTAACAATAAACTAGTTGCAACATGGGAATGAGGTGAAGTGGATGTGAAGAGAGAAAGATTTCTGCAAAGTATGAAAGCTTTTTGTGGAAGAACAAGAAATGCAGTTCACAGAGATTTGGCAGAAATGTGGAATATATATCTTTCAGTTATAGAAATCCAACAGTTTTAGTTCACATTGCATGTCAAAATTTCAGTGTGTCCATAACATTTTGCTGCCAGTTTTGGGTTTGTATTTCAGCTAACTCACTGAARATGGGCAAATGAAAGCTATGCACACACACACAGCTACATGACTGACCGTGACTGCCCAGGGACAGCAAATAATAAAAACTAAAATTTCATGGGTTGGTTTTCTGTTAACTATGTGAGCTTGTTTTAGCCATATCTATTTGCTTTTGCTCCCTAAGCAATGCAATAGTTTGTAATGACTGGCACACAGACCTCACTGCTGGATTGCTTTTTGCAACTCTTCTAAATTCACATAGTGTGAGAACTGAGCTGGGTCAAGAGTGGGTTTCAGAGCACCCACAGTTAACCATAGAGCTCAGATCAATCAAAGCTACCGTCTAAAAACCTGGCTTCCTGGTGGCTCACAATATCATAAGCTATTGTCTGGGGGAGACGAGCTCCAGTGAGGTTGGAAAGGTGTGAAGAAAGACGAGAAATTGGAGCATTAAGTCTAATGCTGCACTCACTCTGGAGTAGGGAAAATGGCCTCACCTTGGCCACTGTAAGTTGATATGAAAACAAATTCAGGATTTTAGCTCAGTAATTCATGCAGCTGGCACAAATAGTGCAGAAATGCTGTTTTGATATTTAGATTTAGTCAAATCCACAATGATCCCAGATTTTTATTTAACTAGGTAGGAAGGTTGGGGTTTTGTTTTATTCTTTCTTGGGGATTTATGGTTTCCACCATTTCTTTCTACCTATTCATCTCCTCTTGCCCTCTTCCCGGCTTCCAGTCTCATCAATATCCCATTATCAGCTGCTGCTGCTGGCAGACACCAACCCTGCTTCCAAATTGTCTCCATCAAGGGAGGACAACTGTTTCAAGGAGATTCAATTCACAGCGTCAAGCACCAGCAAAGAAGATTTAAAGCTAGTGGAAGTGACTCATTTAGGGGAAGTAAATCAAAGGCCCAGGTAACATAAGTCTAACCGTAATAAGCTGCTTTTATTTCTGCCTCCTTTTTAGGGGATGTGAAATGCTTTGGAGAGGATTGTTACGCGCTGGCTTTTGGTGTCCCAGCAGCACTGATGGTGTTAGCCCTTGGTAAGTGGCAACTATAGTGCTTGGAATAGTAGTTATCCATTTGGGAYTGCATGAATAGATCAGGAGATGCACAAGTTCACCAGCCTGTATGGAGAGTATGGATCTGAAACTCAAGGTTTCAAGGTCATTGAATAATTGCAATGTTTTAGAACTACTAGCTTAGAGTAACCCATTGCCAGCCTGCCTAACCTGTTTCTGCAGCACAGGCAATGGTGATAGTGTTAATCTTGCCTCCTCAAGTCTCTCTGATCCGTTCCACTGTTGTCAAAGTCTGGGTGTAATAAGATAATTCAGGATAACAAAGAGATCCTTCTGGTACATTTAGGATATGGCCATCCTGTAGTCCTGTATCATGGCATTGGTAAGGGAGTTTTCTGGTGTTTTGTGATACAGGATTTTCCTAAGGGGAAAATTCCTAAGGGGAGGCACCAAAATGATTCTCCTAATGTTCAGCAGCTTTGCCTGTGAACAGGTTTGACCTGTGAGCTTCAATCTGAGCAGTCCCTGAAGTCCCCCAATTTACAGGAGAGCTTAGCATGCCCCTTTTAAATTCCCCACGCTTTATAGCTTGAAACTATCCTAATAGCTCAGATGTTTCCTTCCAATTTTTTTTGCTACACACAAATCCCAAAAGAGAAAGTTGAACAAGACGTTGCTTTATTCTGCGCTATCTCAGTTTGCTTGGCTCAAGTCATACTCATAGCTACAGTGACAGCTTATTATTATGTTAGAGGAATAAGCTGTTATTGCCCAAGTGTTGAGTGGCAAACACAGTCACCATATTTCCTAAGGTGGCATCTTACCCCCAATAAAGTACTGTTTCTCCTTCAACCCCTATCGAATACCTAGTAGTTTCCATATTCCTGTTATTCCTTGGTAGCTGATACAGAGGACACCCTGTTAGCCTCAGTTTTACTAAAGCAACTGAAGGGAGCAGTCCTCTTATAACTTCATTTAGGAGGGTTTGATGCCGCACAGGTTGAGTTCTCCTTCAACTTCTTAGCTTAACTGAGAGGCCAAGCAATTGGGTGATTTCACCATAGTATCTGCAGTTTGAAAAGTTGTTCCTCCAAGGAATGTAAATGTTACTTTTTCCTCTCAGACTTCCATGAGAGRGAAGGATCAGGACCTAGCAGAAATACCATCATCTCACAGCTCACATTACATCAATTATTTTCAAAAAAATGCATGGTTGTGGGCATAAGAAGCTTCTCATTTCTCATGTGGCTTGTTCATATCAGTTTAAGACAGACAGGCTCTTCCTGCACTATTGTGTGATGAATGTTTCCAGCGGGGTAGCTGTTGCCCAGGGTAAAATGGACATGTAAATATTGCAGTTTCAGTGTGGGCATCAGTCGAAATGTGCTTTCAGCTGGTGTCCTGCTGCCAGATTCCACATTCTGCCTGGCAAAGCAGCTTCTTGTTCTTTTGTGACATGTTAAAATGCTCTTGGAAATGATTTCTTTGACTATGTGGCCAGCATTCAGAACTGCAGAATATACCCTTCCCATCCTGACTGTCCTCCCTGTGATGCTGGAAAGTGAGGATAGATCTAGAGGCAGAATGGAAATTTTACAGAGCAAGATTTCCTGGGTTTCTTCAGTTTCTGACAGTTAGATGAGGATTGATACTGTCAAATCTCAAATGTCAAAGCTGGTGCTAGAACATCAGTTCTCACTGCTTCAGTGGCATCCCCAGAAGATATTTCAGGAAAGTTCACGGATCGCCATTTGGAGGCACCAACTGCTGTACATGGAGTTGCTAGGAATTACGTGGTGCAATTATGCACTCTGATTTTGTGCAAGGGTCCCTGAAGGATTTACCAAAACTGACTTCAGCAGCCGCTCTGATAGTTTTGCAAGTCAAAACAGGACATCTAAGGGTCATCTTTGTAGTAGGAGAGAAATGATGAGTCACCTCCAGTCACCTGCATTAGGTCAGAAGTGCCTGCTGCTCTCTGTTGGCTGTGGACTGCCACTGGACACCTGGGTTAGCTTAAAGTGCTGAGGTTGGGCCTGATGGAGCCCAGTCTCAGGTTCTGTGGTGCTTCTCCAGGTTAATGTCTCTGTAATTGAAATGCAGGCAAAGGCTCTCAAAGAGCAGGACAAATTGTCTGTAATCAGATAGCTCCATCTGTGACAGAGCTTTGAAGGCTTCCTCTAGTGCTCTCTGTGCTTTGAGGGAGAGAAACAAGACAAAACAAGATCTTAAAATTTACATTCCTTTATGGAAGCCAAAAAAAAAAAGACTAACTCCTGTTAATGCCAGTGTGTGATGCAGTGACCTTTGTGAACTGGATTGACAGTTTCTGCTGAAAGATGTGTGAGATGAAAATATGCAGAGCCCAGGCTGGATCTGGATTCATTCTCATAGTTGCAATGACTCAGAATTGGGTTCCAACACAGATACAATACATTAGACACAGCAATTAAACATAGCTTGTTCAATAAAATAAGCCTATAAAAAAAAGCAGAAATAAGAGAGGATTTTCAAAGTGTTAATTCCCAGTGCAAATCCGATGTGGAGATGCCTCTTCTTTCAGAGCAGATCATGAGACGATGACAGTGACTATCTGAGGATCCCACTGCCTCTTGCAGAATGCTGCATTTTACTCCAGGCATTAATGAGGGCATTAATTGGAATCCTATATGTTTATTCTGCTTGAGGAAAGAACAAGCTTGTAAGCCCCAGGGGAGAGGATTTGTGTTGAATACAGGGTGGGTGTGGGTGGTCCTCCCCAGGAACCAGTACCCGATTAAGCCCTTAGTCACATGAATTCCCATTTGGATTATAATATTTTTCAGTTGTGTTCATTGCTGGAAGTGGACTGTACAGAAAAACACCACCACAAGGGAACGTCTTACTTGAAGTGTGCAAATGCATTGGAGTAAGTGCATGCCGTTCCCTTCCTTTTCATGCATGACTCTGAGGCTGCAGGCCAGACAGGTGAATTTGAAGTTACAATTCTTCTCTATGTTGCTCCTGGATGTCTTGCTGATGAGCTGTAAGAAATAAGGAACACACCTAGCACCTAAATTGTCCTTCCTTCAGTATTTTGAATGTTTTTCTTTACTTTTTGTTCTGCTGATGTGAGCAGAAGCRCTAGTGGGGGGGGTGCTGGTGATAACTGAACTGAAAGGAAAATTCAGAAACTGACAGAGTATTAGAAATATGACTCAGGTTTATTTTCAGCTGAATAACTTTACTGAAGTTTATCAGTTCAGGAGACAGTAATAGTATGCATTCCCATTAAGTACATTCAGCATGTTAATGTAAATGAAAGAGACACCTGCTGAAGTCATATTATAGCCTTATCAATTATCTTTCCTAGTGTGTGAGCTGAATACAGCGTTTGAAATAATACTCTCTTGGTGTTAGGTGGGTAATAACATTTTTCTCTGAGGAAGCTGTTGCAAACAGCAGATGTTTGCTCTTTGACTATGTCAATGCTAGTGACAGGCTGAGGTTTTCCTTTCCTTGATGATTATGGGAGGCAGCCACTCTTTTTGCTAGGGTCTGTTCAGTGTCTGGAGTGCACAGCATAAGCAAACGGGTTACGTGTGTGGTGTCACTTGATTTCTCCTGCAGTGAGAAACCAACATGAAAGATGCTGTAGGATTGAGTGAGACACGGTCCACAGCAGGTGTATACAAAGAAAGACCTATAGAACAAGAAAGAAATGTGACTTCTGATTTTGACTTTGCTGGGGCTAGTGAGGCATTTCTTCCCTAGCACAGTGGTCAATCCAAAAGGCACCTTTCAGAAAATAAAAGAACATTTTTCAAAGCTTTATCTTGTAGCAAACTTTAAATTAAGCAAGAAATAGTCTTGATGGGCAACACTAGATCTGTCTTTGAAAGACAGGCACATGAGGTAGTTCTTTATCATATTTACTCAACCAAAGTCACAGAAATTGGATGGTCATAAGAGGTCCAATCCTGCCCATCCAGATACCGTAAGCGCCCAGCAAAACCCACACAGTTATCTGCAACTATTTATGCCTGGGGACTGGGAGGGCAGCCTTGACTTGGGAGTGTGATGGCCTCTGAAATGCAAAGGAAACAGTTAAATTAGGATATGTACTTGTTTTTCCTCCCTAGTTTGCTATCAAAAACCGAATGAAAAACCGCTCCCGTCAGATTCCAAAGAGGGATCACTGGCTCGACTGGGCATCAGAAAAATACTCAGTAAGTAATGCCTTGCCTGACAGGTGCTTAGTGGAAGGGGGAAGGAAGGCAGAAGGCATAAAACTGGCTTTCCCACATGACAGGCCATTCCTCACATAGACTTTGCCTGTCCATTCCCACATCTGTACTCTCCTGACCCTTAATGGACAATTTAGGTGGTGCACTGAAATGTTGAAATGCAAATATGTCCAGTATCATGAATATGTGCAATGAAAAATTACTGTGGCTCTCCAAAAAGAAATAGGAGCTCTCATGCTTTGTAGCTTCATGTCATTGGTTCTTCACCCCCATCTTATCTTTTTCCCTTTGTAGAAAAAACTGATCGCTGAGGTTAAAATGGTGACACGTGTTCTCTTCCTGTTCATACCACTGCCGATGTTCTGGGCCCTGTTTGATCAACAGGTACGGTACAGTACAGTGCCCCATGGGTTGTGCTACCAGGCTGGGTTAGCACCTGTTGTGCCAGGCTCACCGAATTCTCCTGACACCCAGTATCTGGGGAACACAGAGCTGTGCACTTCACCCAAGCATCCTCAGGCGTGTTAAGGCAATACCTACCATCACTGTTGGTTGTGCCTTCACAGTCCTGCTTGGTATCTGGGATGGGAGGTTGAGGAGAAAGTGTGTGCCAGGTCCTCTGACAGGAAATTAAGGCATTAAAGAGAAGGGAAAGGGAAATAAGACCTCCAGCACGGTTGTCATCTTCGTCCCCAGAATTTCTAGGCCCACAGGACATTTTGAGCTCTTCACAGCTGTCTGTTTTCTCCTCAGGGATCCAGGTGGACTTTGCAAGCCACAAAGATGAATGCTGATTTTGTAAGTACTTAATGTCACTACGGGTCATAAAACGACTAACATCACTTCTCTTGTTTTCAGAAGAGAGACTTGCAATACTAAGAGCTTCTACTTAATGAGTCTGTATGAGTTGCACTTTGAGTAATTAGAAGAGAAAGGCTCTAGGTGGCCATATGCAATTCATCACAGTCCATCTTGGCAAGGAGTAAGGGCTGGGGAGCCATCAACAGCCTGCAAAGTTGGGAGTGCTTAAGCGTTGGCAACTAGTTGCTCTATGACCTTGAGTGAGCTACTTATCAGTTCAGGTAGGGTTTCCAGCCTGCTGCCCCACTGAAGATGGGGAAGTCAGGGGGAGTTCATGCAACTGTTACGAGGTGCAATTAGAGCTGTCGGAGCTGTATGCTCCTGCTGCAGCATAGTTGGTGATGCATTAATGAAGCCTCTAGCAGTCGGCAGGAATCCTGCGTAAAGGCTGYGGTGAGGATTAATTAGTTAGTAGCCATAAAGTACTTGAAAGATGTGAGTGGCAAATGGTACAAGCTGAAGTGAAAGATAAATGTGGGTGAACTGTCTGCCTAAAGGTTTCTCCATGTGGGGCCTATTTCTAGACATATATGTTTTAATAGGCCATCTGGGTCTTACCTGTGGATGCTCATGGGTTATAAGTGCCCATTTTACACTTTAAATCCCCAAATGTGAGCCCATCTATGTTACTCTCATTAGATGTTGGACTCTCAGCATGTGATACTCATTAAGCTTAATTAATTCAAATGAGGCATGAAAAAGACTACACCTTGAGTAATATTTTACCCACCCCAGAAAGAAAATAACAATGWAAGTTCATGTAGTCTTTGGGATGTGTATCTAGAAACCTTGTTGTGTGCTGTTGTGCTAGCATGCATTTAGTGATCCATTAACAGGGCATTTAAGAATTGCCAGAGTTGCTTATTAAACTCTCCATGGTGGAGAAGGAAACTGTTTTGTTTTGGTCATAGCAACTTGAATGGCTTTTTGGCATGTTTCAGTCTGATTCCCTTTCTACAACTATTGGGAATTTCCTTAACCCATGAAGGTGAGAATTAAGTGTAACATTAAGGTGATGCTTCCACTAGACTTACTGTAGTTCATGTTTGCAAAAATCCTCTTTCTTTCCTTTTCCAGCTGAAGTGCTCAGCAAGGGTGGCCAGTTAACAATTAATGATTTAGGGTGAAATGAGAGGTTTGCAGGCTTCTTGCTTAATGTCTTGTTTGCATAGTGCACAAAGTGGCACAAGAAGAGAGAATTTGCCTCATCTTCTTAATTCTGAGGCTTCTTTGCTGTGCCCTGTGCTTTCTGCTCTCCCAGGAGGCTGCTACTGGCAGAGACAGACAGCAATTTTATATTCAGCTCGGGACAAACCTGGCAGAGAGGAGACAAACCCCCACGGTGCTTTCTCAGAAAGATATTACCTCCTTCCTATTTTTCCCCCTTGCTCCTAATCCTAATTTAAAATGGAAAGCACTGCTTGCAGTTTGGGCAAACACCAAACTCCCCCTGGAGAGGAGCTGACCTTTTCCCTTTTGCTGAGCTGGGATTCCCCCATCCATCCCCATTGACCTTGCCTGGTCATGGAGCTAAGCACACCAGTGTGAGAATGAGGCAGTACTTACGAGTTCAAGAACTGTTGGATTAATCTAAGTTGAACAGGTGACCAAATCCAAAGCTTATTTTGGTGCCAGTGAATGAAAGAAAGAGGTGTTTTTACAGCCCACTGGCATAGGGCAGTCTTTTCCTATCCTTTTGAGGTTTGGGGGCCAAATGCAAGCACACCTGAGAAGTTTGAGAGCAATCACCTGGACTTTTAACATTGTAGAAACAGAGAGGGAAGAACATCTAAATGCACATCCTGGCTTCAACTCCAGTGTGGCCGTTCCTACTCACCTGGTTCAGGAGAGATCCAAGTTGAAAGATGGGTCTTAGTATCTGTGGTAGACTGTGTCCTAGCTGCCCTGCATTGAGAGCTTCCTTCTGCAAAATGATTCCCATCACACACCATCCTTAGACAGCAAGGGTCAAGAACACAGTATCAGCTACTAAAGCCAACACAATGCGTCTGAAGAAACCATCTCTGCTGCTAAGGCCTTTACTATGGGCTGTTTGCTTATTTGCTGTCAACCGTGTACACTGTTATTTTATGATGTTTATGAATCACTTGGGATGTCTTTTTGTTTCAGGGGATATATGTCCTTCAGCCTGACCAAATGCAGGTAAAACATACTGTAGGGTAGGAAATAACTCTTAGAGTACTTTTTCCCTGTCTGTCTTGTTTTTGTTGTGAATCCAGTGCCCTTTCTCTGCTCCTTTTGAAGGTCAGGGCAGTGCTCCCCCGACTCATGTGGTGTGGACTCTCTGCTGTCGTTTACTAGGTGTTGCACAGAGTTAGCTGTGGGGATTTGGAAGTCCCTGTCGCTGTCCTAACATAGAACTTGAATCTGCAGTGTAATGAAGAGGTGCAAGGGGATATAAACTATSTCCTTGGATCAGAAGCAGAACTGGGCCAAGTTTCAGATGAGGACATGCCACCATGATAGTGCTTCAAACAACAGTAGTGTCTGGAGTGAACAAATTGCATCTCTTTTTAATAGATGCCTGTCTGGGGGTGAGCATTGTACCTTCATCCCTTCCTGCAGGGCAAGGGAAACTTTGAAGGCTCCGAGACCATAACATGTTGTCACAGTTGATTATAGTTTTTATTCTGAACAGCTCTGGAGAAATTCAAAGCTGTTTAGTTCCCTGACGTCTTCTTCAAAACTAAGACTGAATAATAACCCTCTCTGTTTGTTTTTCCCAAGCCACTCTTGCATTTTCTTGCTGTCCCACTGCTGTCTGGCAGACAGSTTCTGCCCTCCTGGGAGAAACGCAGTTCCTATGGGATTCCCAAGCCATATGGAAGAGCCGGGGCCTGGCAGTTTCACAAAACAGTGCCTGTTCCTCTGAGAGCTTGCTGGAGTCCCAAGATGTTTGCATTGTTGCTGGTYAGGTCCCACTGCAGCACTGAAGTTCACTCGCCTCTTGTCAGTGGTTTTTGTACTCTTTAAAAAYATAACGCCAGAGATTTCTCTTCAGGGACATTGGGCCAGTGATGCTTGCTTAACTCTTACAGTGGAGACATGAACAAAATGTATTTGTGCCTGTGAAATCTAAATAGGAGAAACCATCGAAGTGCAAACTATGATTATATTTTTTAAGAAGGTTTTAAAGCTTTTGATCATGTCTTTTCTGTAATGGAATTATTTCTGGAGAACAGTGCTTTATGAACTTAATTACTGAAAGTTGCTTTCTAGTCACTAAACTCCCATTGTTTTGTGTTGCAGTTCTTAAACCCACTTCTTATTCTTGTCTTCATCCCGATTTTTGACCTTGGGCTCTACCCACTTATAAACATGTGCAAATTTAATTTCACGTAAGTACTTTGGGAACCGGCAGATGCCTTGGTTCTAATTCTTTAGCAGCAAGTGTGCAGAAGACTAGTTTTTAAGGATATAAATCAGAAATTCCCACTCATTCTATCCAGTACTTGCAGTGTTGCAGCTCATGTGGCAGCATTGCCATCTTCCATAGGCCCTGGAAATTCCAGGGGAAAGTGTAATGATGTTGGACCCGACCCTCATCTAAAGGGAAATGAATCAGGAGTCCTTGGGTATTGATCTCCTTGCCAGCAAATTTTCCTTGAGAGATAACATAAATAGACTCTCTCTTCATTTGCTCACCACATTCTTCATTGCATCTCCTAGCTCCTCTGAGGTAATTCTCTACCTGCAGCTCCCCATGGTGCCAAATTCACTTTCCCACTCCTCCAGTGACCTAGACTGAGCCTCATCTTGAGAGAAGACTTTCTATCTAGACTAGGTAGCAGCATTGAATTCATGCACTGATCAGGACTGAACCTCATGCCATTTCTGCCCCCAGGATGCTGTACATTAACAGGCTCCTACCCAGTTTCACTGCAGGATTCRTTATGGAAACACAGTAGTTTGCAGGGCTGCAAAATTTTGAGCCACAAAATCCCAATATGGAATAGGACTCAAAACTAGTTTGTTCCTTAAAAAAAGCTAAGTGTTTTCTTATTCTCAGATATGTAACTGAGAGACAGAATTTGAGTCCGTAATCTGCCTTTTACACAGCCCAGTGGATATGCCTTTTGAGTCCAGAGCACTATAAAGACTGGAGATCATTGAATCTAGATCTGTGTTTGTTTCAAATTCAGACCTAGGTGRCAGGTCCTGTTTTAATCTATTCCCGATCAGATTATCTCACACGATTTTAGTAGAGTGGCAGTAATTTTGTTCCTTATTCTCTAGAAATGCCAATGTATTGGCATGAGAAGTAACCCAGAGTGATGACACAGATGGCCAAGAATGTTGATGACAGAAAATTTTTCTSTTCCTCCTGCCTGCTGCTAAGTAGTTTGCTGCTTCACTTTTGCCTCTCCCAAAAGAGACTTGAAGATGTATCATTTCTAGGGCTTCTTCCAACATTGTAGGTTAACATAATGCCRTAAGTTATTCCCACTAGGAGAGTTAGGAACAAGATAATATGAAACTTGCAAGTACAGAGCTTTTTTTTCATGGCATATCAGTTTTAATTGGCCTCAGTGCTGGCCTCGTACAGAATAATAGAAAGGTTTTAACTTAAATGATGGGTAATTTAAACAGCACATCATCCCCAGTGCCACCTGTTGGACAGTTTATTACATGACTTTGGCATATCTTTGACTCTGAGGAATGATATTCTGTATTTTAAATTGCCCCTTTTTTTTTCTCCATAATAACACCTCTTGCATTCACTCCATAGGCCTATTAGGAAAATGGCAACAGGTATGATCCTTGCAGGGATGGCATTTGGACTTGCAGCCATTGTAGAAGTCAAAATAAATGTAAGTATAGTACAAGAGGTTACTCAGAAATTCTTGGCTTTCACTGGGGCATTTTTATACATCTTCAATACATTCATTGTAATTAAACATACTGATCCAATTGCTATTTAAAAATCCTACTTTGTCTACCTCTCTCTCCCTTCTTTTTCCTTCCTGTCTCTTTTTCTCTTACTATTCTTTGCAATTTTGCTGTGCTGGTCATCTATAGTGGTATATTTTCTGTAGTAAATTCCATCATCAAAGTGCTTTGACACTAGTCATCTAGTTAATGCTCATGGTAAAAAAAAAAAAAAAAAAAGTGGTAAAAAAAAGCTAGTCTGTTCTCTCATCTCTTGAAGTAGTTTTCCTATATTTTGCTGTTTTTTTGTTTTGTTTTGTTTCAGTTTTGTTCATTGCCTGCTGTAGGGCAGGGATGTGTTTAACAAGACAAGTTTGGGTGCAGGTGAATGCACTCACCCCTGCAGGCCCAGGTGTCAGGGACTACCTGGTCTCCCCAGCCAGCAAGTCCCTTGTAAACTTGATGTTAGCCCTGCAAATTCATTTCTGGCCGGACACCAGTGCTGCTTGCTTTGGCTGACCTTTGGCTTAGAAAACTTACTAAGATTAATTATGTAAATGTAAGATTAATTTTTCATGTTTCCGTGTATACTTAAAATGCTCTGTTACAGGGTGGCTGGCTGCGCTGACATTTACCTGGTCCTCAGGTGAATCCACTGACAAGTCTCCACTGAAATAAGACTCTCTGGTTTCAGTGTTCTTTTGTGGTGTCCTTACTTGAGCACAGAGAAGTTGTCATTGCTACTCAGAGCAGCTCTGAGCACTGAAAACCTCCTCTGTGTAGAGGGATGGTGGCTTGAGAGATGCCCCTGTGGCATTTATAGCCTAAATGCTGCCCAAAAGCTCCAGCAAGGAAGGAGACAGGAGGGCAGCATTCCCAGGGTCATCATATCTTTCTGGCAATGTCTCCCTGCCTAGCTAGATTCAAACTGCCTTGCCTGTAATACCCAAATTATGGCATGAGACAGAAAAAATTAGTAGCTCTGAAGTATTACTTTTGGCTACCTGAAAATGAAGTGAGGGGGAAAAAAAAGAATGGTTTTAAATCTGCAGGAAATATGAAGCAGGAAATGATTGAAGTACTCTTTCTAGGATATAATTCCTGATAGAAAGGATGCATTTGTGCTTCAGACATCATTGTCCCTCTCTCAGAAGACAGAGAGCAAGAGCTGTACAGTGGGCCATTAGATAGCGTGGCGTTAAGTGATTTAAAAGCACCAATTACAGACACAGCTGGAGCTGGATTTTCAAAACTGCATAGCTTTTGGCCTAATTCTTTTTCCAGTCATTGAGTGCGATGGAAAAAGAATGATTCTGGTCGGTGCTCTTGAAATCCTCCTCTAATGTTAAGCTCATTTTTTTCCTTTCTGGTCCTGCACCTGCTTAGATGTAGGCACTTAGGAGCTGTATTACGGGAACAGGTAAATGGTTTTACCTGCCCAGCAGTAGTGTAGCCTGTGCATTTAATGGTGTGAAGAGCAGTCTTTGTGAAGAATGATAGGCTGTAGAGCTATTATGAAGAAACCTCCCTACATAAGATTTATGTTCAGTTGTCTTTAAGTGAAACTTCTGCTGAGGAAGGGATGGAAAAGCGTCATTACGGAAAAGATCACTATCATGACTGAAAATGAAGCAGTATTAAGAGCTCTAATAAAGCATATAGATGGCACTTAAAGCCTTTTATTTTAATTAGGAAACCGATATGCCTCAACTTGTCCCAAAAGAAAGTTTAATTCAGGTCCTGAATTTGGCAAAGAACCCTGTTCAAGTGACAATCCAAGACCAGCACCTATTTCAGCAGCCCATAGAGGCTTTCCAGGTAAGTATATGTGTGGGACTGGAAGGTCTGCCTCACAGTCCCTTTAAATAAAGTTGGAGTTTCTTTCAGCTGCTCCTAAATAAATCCCCTAGATGCTAGAGCATGTTCTTCTCTACCTTAGAAGTGCATGGGAATGGCTTTGGAGATGTAGCACTGTGCTCAGTGACCAGATGAAATGGAAAGTTTGAGGATAAATTCGTTGCAAAGGAGCAAATGACTAACTGCATTCATCTGTAAAATGGTAGTTGCCCCAGGAYGAGCATCTGCAGATACCTTGCTCCAGTCTCCAGGGCTCAGCCACYGATCAGGCATTGCTGCTGGAATTTGACTGACATATGAAACACATTTTCTTGCAAAGGAAAAATGGGAAAGCAGTCAATTAGGCCTGAGTATTGGGGATGTTTCCCATTTCAGCTCCCAGATTATGTTAAAGAGGAGCCTGGTTAGGGACTCAGCATGGCAATCCGTCAGTCATCAGCTGCCTGCAGCAGTCTGGATGTTGTCCCTTTGGGGCAGACCAGGGCTGGGAGAAAGGGTAGCATGGAAAGCAGAGGGAGCTCCCTGTCCAAGGGGTTGTATACTGCAAGGGAAGAAGCTCCAACTAGGRCCAGCCTAGAGCCTGCAGGGTAACATAGGTCCTTTACTGTAGGAGGGGAAGCTTTCAGCCAGCTCTGGCTGTTAACCTCTCTTTACATGCTCCTTTGAGGAGAGGGTAGGATTGCACTTGATGGGCAGAGCCAGAGCCTGTCTCAAGTGAAGGAAATGTATAACCAAGTTTGTTTTCTTTCCACAGAACCCAGCTGAGTACTCAAAATTAATATTGAATGGAGCGCAASAGAGCCTACGCTTCACCCTGCAACAACAAGGATTGTCTCTTACTTTTAACTACACCGTGAAGGAAAAATCAGTATACAGCTTAATTGTTTTTGAGGCAGAAGAAAGCCTATCAAGCCGCTTAGTGAGTGTGGGAGTGAAGTGTAAATACGGTATTAATTCAATGGCTGTGATGATACAATGGGTAATGGGGTGATAGGTTCATTAATTCATTTGCTCAGTTRCGGTGTCTGTCTGATTGCTCTGAGATGCTCTAAACCTGACTTCTTAGCTAGCGGCACTGCGTCTGTACACAGGTCTGGTGGTTGATTAATAGAGGCATTATGGCATCTGAGAGCTACTGGGCACAATTTAATCCAGTGAATGGTGCAGTGGGAGAGCGGGATAATACCTGCTAGGCAGCAGAGCTTGAGAAATCGGGGGGAGCAGAGAGACAGATTTTCCCCCAAAGATGGCTCTATAAAGCAAAGATGTTAAAGAGGCTCTAGGGCTGGGCATGGAATAAATACATCAGGGCAGCGTTTCTCAGTATAGTTATTACAAGTGTTTAGTAAAAATGCACAGAAGGCCCATTTGTTTTGCGGAACAGAATAAATGATTAAATTCATTTCTACCTCTGCGGCAGAGCTGGCTATGAGAGGCTTTTAATATATTGCTGCAATTACAACAGGTATTTGGGATGCATAGGGGCAGATTCTCATACCTTTTACATGCAGCTGTACCTCAAGAAGCATCCTTGAAACAGGTTCTGTGATTCCACATTGTGGTGTGTGTGTGTGTATATGTGTGTGTAAATGCCATCAGAGTCTGTCCTCATGCTAAAATACCATTTCAGCCTTCTACCTCACAGGATTGCCACTCCAGGCATTCAATATTGTGCAGCAGAAATCACAACTTTTCTTTTTTTTTTTTTTTTTCTTTAAAGTGGAGTTTTAACAATTTATTTTTCCCTAAGGTTTTTTTCTTTGCTGTTATATGGTTTGGAGCCTGCAGTGTGTTTTCATACACTGATGTTAAGCTTTCCCTGTGATCCTGATRATTGTGTGCTGTTTCTTTAAGAAATGGATACTCATACAAGGATTTTCACACAGTCCTTGGATTCCAGGAGCTGGAACTTTAAAAGAAAAAGAAAGCAGTTAAAAGAAAAAAAAAAAAAAAAAAGAAATGGATACTCATACAAGGATTTTCACACAGTCCTTGGATTCCAGGAGCTGGAACTTTAAAAGAAAAAGAAAGCAGTTAAAAGAAAAAAAAAAAAAAAAAA